AGAATTCCACTCTTCATCAGTGACCCTGGACACTACCACCAATGAAACTTTAGACCAAACCAAGCCTTTATAGTAGTGAGGTATCGAAAATCGAACTGGTGTATTTAAGTGTTTTACACTCACAAAAAGAAACCTATCATTCTATATGGTCACTGGTGAAGAGTGAAATTATCCGAAACTAGCCTGGCTCACAGACACAACCACTAATGAAAGGATAGACCATTCCAAGCTTATACTTGTTGTTAAACAAGTGTTTAAACAACTCTATTTATTCAAATAAACAAATAAACTATCTTGTGTTGTTTAAAACATTATATACAGATGAAGTATCTTATATCAGCTAACACATTATACACAGGTAAAATATCTTATATAAGTTAACACATTATACACAGGTAAAATATCTGATATCAAGTTAACACATCATATACAGATGAAGTATCTTATATCAGCTAACACATTATACACGGGTAAAATATCTTATATCAGCTAACACATTATACACAGGTAAAATATCTGATATCAATGTAACACATTATAATTATATACAGATAATATAACTGATATCAGGTAACACATTATATGCAGATAGTACAGCTGATATCAGGTAACACATTATATGCAGATAGTACAGCTGATATCATTTAACCCATTATATACAGATAATATAACTGTTATCAAGCAATACATTATATACAGATAGTACAGCTGATATCAGGTAACACATTATATACAGATAATATAACTGATATCAGCTAATACAATATACACAGATAGGACAGCTGATATCAGGTAACACGTTATATACAGATAATATAACTGATATCAGCTAATACAATATACACAGATAGGACAGCTGATATCAGGTAACACATTATATACAGATAGTACAGCTGATATCAGGTAATACATATATACAGATAATATAACTGATATCAGGTAATATATATACAGATAATATAACTGATATCAGGTAATACATTATATACAGATAGTACAGCTGATATCATTTAACACATTATATGCAGATAATATAACTGTTAACAAGTAATACATTATACACAGATAGAACAGCTGATATCAGGCAATACATTATATACAGATAATATAACTGATATGAGGTAACACGTTATATACAGATAATATAACTGATATCAGCTAATACATTATACACAGATAGCACAGCTGATATCAGGTAACACATTATATACAGATGATATAACTGATATCAGGTAATACATTATATACAGATAATATAGCTGATATCAGGTAATACATATATACAGATAATGTAGCTGATATCAGCTAATACATTATATACAGATAATATAGCTGATATCAGGTAATATATTATATACAGATAGTAAAGGTGATATGAGGTAATACACAGATAGTACAGCTGATATCAGGTAATACATCATATACAGATAGTAAAGCTAATATCAGGTAATATATTATATACAGGTAGTACAGCTGATATCAGGTAATACATTATATAGAGATAATACAGCTGGTATCAGGTAATACATTACATTTAGATAATATAACTGATATCAGGTAACACATTATATACAGATAATATAACTGATATCAGGTAATACATTACATATAGATAATATAACTGATATCAAGTTACACATTATATACAGATAATATAACTGATATCAGAT